CTCACTCTCATTTCAAACTGATTCCATTTACCATTTCCTTTAGGACAAGTCTAGTGGTAAAAAGCAAATAAATAAATAAATCACAAACTTCTCTATTTTTATGGAAATGTCATAATTTCTCCTTTAATTTTGGAGAAGAATTTTATGAGATACTCTGCTCTTCCTTGACAGTTTTCTTATTTTTGTTGCTAATTTTCTGTAAGCATACTGAAACCTCAGAACTCTGGCTTTAACCCCTCCTAGTTTTTGTTGAGGAGTTGGGTAATAATCTTATGAATTTTCTCTTGTATTTCACCAAATGCCTTTCTTGCTAGTTTTCAAATTGTTTCTTTCTTTTACTGCATTATGTTTATAATGTGACTTGATGCAAAGTTCTTTGAATTTATTCACCAAGACTTTTTTTGAGCTTCTGGGATATTTTATTACCATGACTTTTGTCATATTGGGGAAGTTTTTAGCTATTGTTTCTTTAAATAATCAGTATGCTTCTTTTCCCTCTTCTCTTTCCAAAGGAGTTACAGTGCAAGTGCTGCTTAGATTCATGTTGTCTCACAAGTTCACTTACAATCTGATTACTTTACTATATTTTTGTCTCTCTTCCTCATACCTAATAGTTTCTATTGTCTTATCTTCTGATTCACTACTCAAATCTGCCTTTGAGTCCTTCTCATGAATTTTTCATTTCAATTTTTGTAGTTTTTTGCTCTATGGTCCCCTTCTGGTTTATTTTATTTTATTTCACTTTGTCCACATCTTTCTTTACTTCTGTGAGCACCCTTAAGACAGTTGTCTTTACTTATTTAATAGATTTGATATCAGGTTTTTCTTGATGTGTTTTTTGGGGGGCTTTTTTTTCTTTGAATGGGGCATAATTTCCAGTTTCTTTGTATGCTTTGCCATTTTTTGTCAAAAAGATTTAACATTTTACTGTAGAAATATGGTAATTTTGTAAATCACATTCTCCCCACTTCCCTAGAGACTGTCATTTTTTCAGGAGGGGGTGTTTTGTTTTATTTTGTTGATTGTTATAGGTATTTCCCATGCTAAGGATCAGCTTGAAATATAAACTTGAAATCTTATTAGGGTTAGGTCTTTTCTCTGTCTACTTCATCTCTTAGGCTTGATGACTTTTTATTTTTTCTGTATATGAAATTGCTTTTGAATGTCCCAGGCTTCAATGTTTACTTCCTTAAATGAGAATAAGAGAAAAATGCAGAAAGACAAGTACCAGCCCTTTAAATCTCCTAGAAGTCACTTTCATCAAAGATGGAGGTGCTCCCAACATTGAAGGACGGTGTAGAAAAAAGGGCCACTGCCTGTCCTGTGTTCCCGTTTGATAAAAATAGCAATCATCGTGCACATCCCAGAAATGCAATATTTTGAAGAAAAGGTACTGTTTTATTTAGCCCTGAGCCCCACAAGCTATATGCAAGTGTTCCAGGAACATTTGCACTCTTTTCCATGGAGCTGAGAGGTACAGAATAAGTTTCTGGTATTCTAAGAGCTTAAATAGAAGAAAATTAATTGCAGTTTACCCTTCAGGCCTTCACTGGGCATTACATAGAATAAATGGACAACAGATTTTCAAAATAATTACATCAGATTCTCATTGTCTATGAAGAAGGAAAGGGAGGAGATAGAAGTCTAATTGTTAGTAATCACAACATTAATTCACATTAAATTTATGTTGCTCTTTTGGATAGTTCCAATTATATCACCCACAAATCAATATCCAGATTATTCTGTTCTACTATATTAACTTCTGTTTCCCCAAATCTTAAGGGTATGGATTTTGGGATCTAGTAGACATGTGTTAGTTGTGTGTCACTGTATGAGGTAATGTATCACCTTAATCTCAAATTCAATTTCATAGAGGTTTGAGTACTAAATGAGACTGATATACGAAGAATTAATAGCTCAGAACCTCCCATCCAATAAGTATTAAATTACACAAGACACACATTACTGATGTGTCTTTTTATTGATGATGTACTGAACCTCTATGTATGCTAGGTAAAATTCCAAAAAAATCTGGGGAAAAAGTGTTGAACAATATCAGTTCTGTACTTATGTTATAGTTAAAAAATGCATATAATAACGGTTAATCACCCAAGCTGTATGTAACTAGATAAATGTTATCAGAGAGATAACAATGAGGAAGAGTAAGAGCTGTGCTCTTTTGTATTAAATGTGTCCCAGTCACCTTTCTGTGCAAAGTTGTCCTGGGTTCAACCTTTGTTTCTAGCATGCAAAGCCAAGTATGGACATTGTGTTTTTACACTATTACTTTAGTCATTCCCACTTTCAGGATACTTGATCTACCCTTTGTTGCTCTTAAATGAGATATGGTAGTGGTTTCTTTGGTAATTGTTGACTTTTAGTGGGGTCTCCTTCTAGTATTAGCTACACCTTTCTCTAATATTGAGGTCTCCCAAAATACAGTTCAAATGTTATCATTTATCTGCTAAAATGTTTAGAAATTGCTCCCAGTTCCCAAAGTGCTATTAGCCCAGTTTTTAGATTTTTCCATTGTGGTTGATTAACTAGTAGTCAACTTGAAGGGGTGGAGATGTACCCCAGTGTCACCACGCCTGCCTGGCAAGCAGAAGGTCCTGAGTTCAATTCTAGGTAACAAAACAAAACAAACAAAGGAAGTACCTCTAAGCCAATGTGGGTGGGAACGTCCAGCTGAACTGAGTCAGCATGGTTCTGGGCGTAGGGGACCCACTTGAGGATTGTTGCCTGAATGGCATAAAAGGAGAACAGGAGGGAAAGATTGTGTGCTGCTGATTTACCAGGAGAAGCTTTGTTGCAGCTCGTTTTCCTGATATGAACTCAGCTCTTCTCATCTTTGTAGATGCTTGCTATCACTGGGATGGCTGCTGTTCTCTTCCAGGGAGCTCTGGTTTTCACCCCGAGCATCACTTCCTGGCTCCAGCCTGGGGGCACAGACCTGTCACCCGCTGGCACAGACTTTCTGGCTTCCACCATTGGCCCTTGGGCCTTCCTTTGCAGATCCTTGGTGTGGACTTGCATGAGATTTTGCCATGTGTTCTAGGCCTCAGGCTAGACTTGCACAGGACATTGCAGTGGAATCCAGGCCCTCAGGTGGATTCTTCAGGTCTCTAGCATGTGGAGAAATCTCCTTCACTCTTCTGCATTTGACTTTTTCGGTAAATATTATAAGACAATCCTATAAATTTGTGTTCTGTATGAAATCTATTCCTTTCCAAATCCTGACTACAACATCCATATTATGGACTGACCTTTCTTTTTACATAACCATACCTCCTTTTGCCCTATGAGTTCCCATTCCTCTTTCCTCTTTTCCTAATACTTCCCAAACATCTGCCTCCTTTGACCCTATGATATTGCTTCTATTGCCCTTCCTCCATCTATCATTTCTATTGTTTTTGATAAGGAACATTGCCAAGCTGTGATATTTTTACATGGTCTCTCTGTTGTTCGAGGGACATTATGATCTTTCTTTTTAGTATTTGTTGCACTTTGAACTAATATTAAAGGCAGGCAATAACTCTCCCTTGTGTTTTGCTTTTTAAAGAACTCCTTATCTACCCACCAGATTGTAAACTTCTGAATAACTGGCTATTAGACAGTACACTGAAAGCTCCAAGAATACAAACTGCCGTGTTCTTCATTCACCTAAGTACTTTTCTGCTGCTGAGAGTGAAAGGGCTGATACAAAATATTTGTTGTATTGAATAGCTTAAATTACTAAAGTTGTCTTCTAATAGGTATTACAATACTTCATAGTCCTGACCTCAATTTTCTGTCTTTGTTTAGAAGACATATTAGAATATATGTTAAATTTTATCCGTATAATATAATATTGAAGGTTGAGATTAAAATGGCTACTGCCTAAAATTTAATGTCCATTGGGAATTGTGTTCTTAAGAATTCTTGTACAGTTTGCTTTAATGGGTACAGTAATGCATTATCACAAGGAAAAAGTCACTAAAAGGCTTCTTGACCAAGCAGTGTGAATGTGAAAAAAGGAATCATCTCCTAATTAGAAATAGAGAGTGTATTTTTATGTTTTGTCTGTGTTGACCTCATAGACTCTTTTCTTTTTCACGTATTATTTGGTCTTCCTGGATTCATGTGAAGAATAAAAAATCTTCCTGATCATCAGTGGCATGCTTTGTGCTTCTTATAGTTGGTCACAGTATTTGAGCAATGAACGTGACACTTTAAGAAGAAAATCTTCTCAACCTTGAAGGATTGAATCAGGTGTGAAATGCTCTATTGGATACATTTAGAAGGATTCCTTTGTATATTTATGCTTTAAAATTGAAAAATGTTCTAGAAACTGAAGTCTGACTCAGACGCTGGTTCAAAAATATCTGCAAATATCACCCTTCATTCCTTATGAAAAACAAAAATATTGACCACAAGTTTTCTAGCACAAAATGAATAAATTTTAATAGCACTCAACATAGCAGGGTGTTCTTTAATTGATCTGTGCCACATTGGTTCCTCGAGGCATAGTTTCTAGCAAAAAAAAAAATTGTCAGTATATTCAGTTTGCTCTTGAAAATTATTGGAAATATTTGAGTATGAAACATTTTTTCATACATAGCACATTGCTACTCTGCACCATTTCTTAAATAATGATGGATAAAAGGTGAGTATGTGAAAGTTAATTTCAGTTGGATAAGAAGGGGTAAATTTTAAAAATGCAAAAATCTGCAATAATACTAAGCTTGCTTTGAGCCTCTGTTCTCTCAAAACCTATTGCTAAGGGAGACAAAATAATGAAAAATACTTGGCTAAACTGCTGGCAAAACTCTTATTGTTTGTACCACTCTTGAAAAAGACTCTTGGGACTAGCAGTGGAATCCTTGCCATTGATTGGCTGGTTAAATAGAGGACTATTAGCTTCAGACAGGCTAGATTGATTATACAGCAGCAGCAAGAGCTAAGACTCGGAGCTGAGTGAGCATCAGGGTGAAAAGGAGGGAGAGGGAGAGGGAGAGAGAGATGCAATGTGTGGAAGGAGGCGATGCACGTTCCATAGCATCACTATGTGACTGCTGCTGCCTGATAATCTTGCTTCCAGCTCCCTGAGTCAACAACTAACTGAGGTGCCTTTTCTTTTACAAAAGGATGTCAGCTCTGAGACCCAGGAAGAAATAACAGACTTCACCTTGGAATAGCTCACCTCACTCCTGCATCATTAAAGCGGATTTTGTAAAGAAAACAAAAATCAACCCCCATTCCAGCCCCTCCTCATTCCACCACTGAACAGAAAGAGTTTCCTGCTCCAGGTAAGGAAATTAAATTTTCATCTCCTTGTTTCATTTTAGTCATTCCTAGTAAAATACATGGTAGCTTTGCATGCTTTAAAAGCAGAGTGTGCAGTAAGGCATTAAGGTCAATTCCATACACACAAATGTAGATTTAGGAACACGGGAATGGACATTTATATAAATATGTTTGCTTTTCCCCCAGCTACATGTGTTTTTAAAACCACTAGATTATAAGTTTGTACTCCTTCTAAAGGAAATAAATAAGCCAGGTTCACACTGAAAAGAGGTGTTTTGGTGACAACCTTAAATATGTTCAGAAATACTATTTTTAGGAGTTAAACAACTTTGGGAAATAATAGCCTGTCAAGAAAGGACAATACTGCATTAACTGCTACCTATTATATTTCATTCAGACATAAAAGCTACTGTGTGCTTTTCAGTCTATTTTTAAGGTCTGTGTTTTGGTTGCTATTTTAACTTCAAAATAAACATAATATATCCTAAATGATGTGACATTAGACTGCTCTCTCATTAAAACTACTGATGGCCAGCCCTTGTTCCTAACAAAGTACTGAGCTAAGGTAATGAAATATGACTCTGGAGGTGTTTAGCTATTCTATTCCAGAGTTCATTGCTAAGCTGCAGTCCTATCAATTAACATTCAAAGTGTTAGTGATGGTATGTGCAGGTAACGTTTCAATGAATTTAAAGAAACTTTCACATATTAAATTCTCTGCTGGGAACAGGACTTTTAAAATAATTGTTTCTTAGGAAAGTGATGGAATAGACTATGAAAAGCAGGCTAGGGCAATGCAGTACTGATGTAGTTGATTTACTTTAGGTATATGGGTCACAAGTATTAATTATTAAGTCATGAATACTGTGACACAGAGGATTTCCATCATAATTACTAAAATTGAAATGATTTTTGATATTTTATGTCAATTTTGGGGAACTAATGAAGAGATATTTTATCCCAAGAACGATTCTGAATGCCCTTTTGAGTGAAGTTCTCCAACTCACTTCTTTAATCAGAGAGCATACTATTACCTGTGATGAGTTAACAAAAGTATTTTTTGGAATGTTATTTAATATTTTTTTAAAAAATCCTTAATTGTTAACACTCTTGGGAGCCAATATATGTGAAGTTAAGTTTATTGTATACACTAAATTACTTTATTGGTTTGGTTATTTCACCATTTTTATGTTTATTTCAATCTGTGAAAAAGTTATTCATGAAATCTATATTGCCACATACATGTGAGATTACATTTAAACATTTCCTAAAAGAAGTATTACAACTTCCTAGATATTTCTATTGGTAGAAGTAATACCAGAAGTGAACAACTCTAAGATTAATAGAAATTTTGAAAAGTATAGTTTATCTGAAGGAATAGAGATATACATTTTTAAAAATTTATTATAATCTTGCTTAATTACTTCGCAAAGATATAAATTATGTGTTTTGTGTAAAATTTCCAAATTGTACCTTTAACAATATCAGTTTTATGCAAACAATCTGATATATCATTAAAGGATATAATTTAGTTTAATTAGATTACTTAATTTTACATTCAACCCACAAAATTATTTAAAATTTATAATTTTCTCAATATAATTATCTCACCTCTTACGGAGCAGTTTTTTATAGTGTATATGTGTTATATTTAAATATGCAATAAAGGAAATTAATTCTCAATTTCTTTGTGTGTCTGTAAGAGCCCATTAAAATTTTAACATAAGTATATGTAAACATCTATACTTACCTTTTTAATGAAAAGCTGCATTCCTTCTTTCAGAAGACTTTAGGAATAATTTTTTAACTCTTGATCATTACACTTAGACATTAGACTTCGCTTAATCTCAATATTACTTTCATCCTCTTTCTTTCTTACAAATTCTGAAATTTCTCTTATAAGGAATTTAATTATCTCCTTAATAGGAAATGTTCAGTGATTGGATGAAAAGTATTTTCTTTTTTAAATAACATTCCACACTTCTAGCTATGTAATTAACATGTCTCCTGCATTCTAGATCAGTGCTTTCAGCAAACATGATTGAGACAGATAGCGCCCTAGGAGTGATGAATGTAAGGGTCATTTTGACTCTCAAATCTACTTGCTTGCTTAACCAATTCATCTTAGCAATTCTCACTTCTCCGTGTGTTTTCGAAAGCAGTGCATTTGACTGTTTTCAACTTCGCATTCATTTCTGTAGTATCAAATGTCTTTCCTGATTATTCTTTTTAACTATCCTGAAACAAGAATTCAGAACATACAGTTTTCTTCTGCCTTTATAGATATCTGAACCATTAGGGGGCTCTTTCTTCCTGCATTATACTCAGCAAACCATGGAGAGATTACATTGCTTAAAACTTGAGTACTGCTGGAAATAGCTTCTAACATTCCCTTCTCCCAAAAAGAAACATTTAAAATCAATAAGAAATCTTTATTTTTGCAAGAAACTAAATATACTTTATGCTTTCTAAATGTATGACCTTGAATTTATTCTTATTTTTGAATGTTTAATCTATTGCAAATGACACAGAATATAGAAATAACCTACTCCAGGCAAATTTAAAAATTATGCAGATGTCATTGTAAGTCATAAATAAGATACTGAGGGGAAGAAATTTCTTCTACATTTTTTTCCAAATATTTGAGTCCCGCCCAGTGAGTGTCATTGAGTCTAGGTTCTGTAATTTGCTTTCAGAAGGAATGAGCACCAGGAATGATATAGAGTTAAAAAATTATTCCTAAAGTCTTCTGAAAGAAAAAAATGCAGCTTTTCATTAAAAAGTTAAGTATGGATGTTTACATACACTTATGCTAAAATTTTAATGGGCTCTTACAGACACACAAAGAAATTGAGAATTAATTTCCTTTATTGTATATCTAAATATAACACATATACACTATAAAAAACTGCTCCATAAGAGGTTAGATAACTATATTGAGAAAATTACAAATTTTAAAAAAGACAGGATTACCTGTTTTTAACATAAATAAACATGGGAAAGCAAAAATAATAGGATGGTTTTAATGTATGTTATATATATATGAAATGCATTCTTAAATTCTATAATTTCTTCATTGCAGTTATAAAGTTTTCATAATTATATAGAAAAGTGATGCAAAAGCTAATTATGGAAAAGGTTTTTTAACTGTTATTTTTGAAACACAGCCACTTTGAATTGCACTGCAGAGTTTCTTAATACATGGAAACATTTTCCCCATCTCCACAGCAGCCAAAGCTGTTACTTTACTACAGGACTGGACTGGGGACATGGCAGCATTGAAGGAATAGATGTATAAGCAATCTGTTTAGAAGGTCTAGGCTTTCCATCAAATGATGCTGTGTGCATGGGAAGATAAGTGACATCCACCACTAAGAAGGATTTTGTTTGGGAAGTGAAAGAAGGGGAGGGATTTAGAGCAATGAATCATAGAATTGCAGTCATTTTTCAAATGGCTTGTTGACATAGCAAGGTAGAGAAGTTGCTGTTTAAATAAGATAGGAAGATGGAAATTGTAAGGAATCTCCGTCACTGGTGCTTTGAAAGTAGGTAACTAGTTTTATTCTATGTGTGAAAAGTTACATAGCTTGAAAGGAGTGAATGTTGAATACAACTAGCATGATATACATAACTCTGTGGAAATCACCTCAAATCCACCTGAATAATGCTGAATTATTATCTAAAGCATTTGTTCTCACAAAAATAGTTTCTGGTAATGTTCATTATTGAGTAATATGAAAAGTGAGAAATACAATGCTACATATTTTAAGTAAAACTATGAAAAAATCTAAATTCTAAATTTCTTCTAAAAAGAGAATGTCTTTTATGTTACAGTAGCCAATCATAGGAGATAAAGAAAAGGGCTATCATTGAAAATAAGACAAATAAATTGCCGAAACTGCATATGAAATTTTGGATGCCAAAATTTTTCCTAGACCAAGGGAAAATGAAAAAAATGCAAGAAATATTTTCATGCTTTCTATTTAATGGTAAAATGTAATTATTCCACTGAAGTGGAGTATTTCCATGACTCATGCAGAATGGAGAGAAAACTGCATTAAAATAGGGAGGTAGGGAAATTGGCAGCTGTTAAAAGGCTGAAAATGAAACAAGAAATCTCATTTTCATGGAGTTGAATGAAAATAGATATATGGGATTAATAATTATAAAATATTTACTTTATTGTTACTATTAATAATTAACTAAATTATATTTTTTATAATTTATATTTTTATAAAATTACCTTTGTGCTTGTATTTATCGAATGATGTGTGTGCTTGGTATAGTTGCTTTAATAGTTTAAATAGCATATTTGTCAGTATTCATTAAATGAACAAATAACTGAATAAATTAAAACTGAATATCTGGATTGGGGAAATGGCTATGGTCAGAGTTAGAGTTAAGTGAACACTAGTTTGAATACCATGAAAACTAATCACCTGTATTATGTGACCTAATTTGTGTTCTACAGCTTCCAAGAAAATATGAACAGATATCCCTATTGTATTCAGTCCCACCCCAAACATTGACACTCATAAAAATATATTATGTACTAATTATTTCACATTATTTTATATTACAGTTTTTGTCTCCGACCTTAGATGGGCCCATCTGAGGCCTCTGTCACACTGTCTGCTGCCCTTTATAACTGTTTCTGCAACCATAAATGTGGAACTGGGGCCCAGCTGGCCAACAAACTGTAGTCTCTCTACACAGCCAGTGAGGGAATTCACCACAAGACTCCTGAGACTAAGATTACGAATTTGACCAGGACCCCCATTTTATTCATCAAGGGTGGATAATATTGACTGAGAGTATTATTTATCTGCTACTCATGGGTAGACATAAATTATCCCGCACACTTGGCAGAGTGAACCATCGTAGATGAACAACACACTTTCAGGAGAGGAATAGTTAATAATGGCCTCCAGATAAAAAGGACTCAATATTTTATGAATAGAATATTTCTAGATCAATTTTTGTCTTACAGAAGAATGAGAGG